ATTTATTTGACAGAGAGAGACATAGCGAGAGCAGGAACACAAGCAGGGGGAGTGGGAGAGGGAGAAGCAGGCTTCCCACTGAGCAGGGAGCCCGATGTGGGGCTCAATCCCAGACCCTGGGATCATGACCTGAGCTGAAGGCAGACGCTTAATGACTGAGCTACCCAGGCGCCCCTCTTAAGTTCTTTTAAAAACAACTGATTATTTAACATACATTTCATTTTATTATAGGCTTTATAATATGTTTCTAAATATATGACAATAACACACAGATGAGGGTATAACTATAACTATTGTTGTAAATTTTACATATTATGTAAAAGTACAATAATAACTCTAATAACACTCTCAGAATGCCTATTGTAATTTGTAGCCTTTGCAATAAAGATTAGCAAAGATATCTGAAGGTATAAAAAAACATTAACCGTAACAGAAAAAAACTTGATAAATTGTACTTTTTCAAATTTTAAACTCTTGAAAAGGCAAATACCCCAAAGAAAATATTACACATTCCTGTATGTATATGTATTTGCATATGCATGCATGCAAATATTAAGTATTATAGAAATATATACATAACAAGAACTCATGTCCAGAATACACAAAGAACTCCTATAGCTCAATAATAAAATGAGCCCCAAAAATATAAAATGGGTAAAACATGTTGATATTTAACACACACAAAAAAATTAAACACATGGACAATGAATATATGCGAAGTGTTCATGGGAAATGCAGATTAAAACCACAAGGAGGTATCATTTCTCACACACACACACACACACACACACACACACACAGGAATTGTTAAAATAAAACAAGACTTGACAAAACAAATGTTGGAGCGTGACTCGAATTCAAATGCACCACTGGAGTCTACAGTGATACAACCATTTTGGAAAACTCTATGACCCAACCAATTAAAAAGAATTAAAACTAGACTGGATGAATGGAAAAAGGAAGGGAGGTAAGGAGGAAGATGATCATAGCAATGTCAGACTGAAACTCACATTAAGAAAATTAGATGAGACAGTACACTGAAAAAGTTGTACTTATCATTAAATTTCTTTAATGAATAAACTACATGTTCTAAGTAGAAGAAGAAGCTCTGTCAATATCTCCTGTCCACACAAAGATCTGAGGTACCATAAAATCCTACTAGTCCCCTCTTCTAAAGAGCGATTTTGTTTAAAAAAAATATGTTTTTAAGAATATATACACACACTTAAGTATATATGTGTATACATGTATATATACATATATGTATATATACAATGATATATCTACAACATATATGCACATATATGACATATATGTTGTACATATATACATGTATGTACATATATACATATAAATTTATATAGAATAATCCTGTTAATGATATCTAATGTCACAACCGTATAAAATGAAATGATTATCGAGAGAGTAAAAATGTCACTTGACAGAGAGAGAAAGAGAGAGCACTGGAAAGCAAGTGTGATTACGGGAAGGTAGGAAGGAGAGAACACATCTTTCAGCACAGCTAAATAATTCCCCAGCATCCCTAGCTCATGGTAAAAATGTTGAGTTCCAGAGAAGCCGTTCTTGTCAGAAGGTAGCCAGAGGCCTAAAGTTTAATTCTCCCATCCACAGCCATATGGAAGGAAATGTTACATAGTCAATACAAGAGAACAGGAAGGATTACAGCCCAAAGATAAAGATTTTGCATCTTTTCAAAACAATTTAACATTCCACCAGTGTTGTCACAGGCAAAGCTAATAATCTCCTAAAGAAAGGAAGAAATTACAGCACAGGTAATAAAGTCAATAATATTGTAATAACTACGCATGGTGACAGAGGGTAATTACAGTTACTGTGGTAAACATTTCATCATATATATATAATTGTCAAATCACTATGTTGTACACCTAAAACTGCTGTATTATATGTCAACTATACGTCAATTCTAAAAATTTTTTTAAAAGGTAGGAATTACTAAGGAGCTTTCCATTTTATGTATTTAACCTACTCTGTCTTATAGGAGATAATAGAGTATCTAATTGAAGATTACACATTCTTCCTTTCAGAGGAGAAGAAAAATTAAGCTAAAACTACCCATTAAAAATTAGAGAAAGGTTTGTAGAAATACCACTGTCTTGAATGTTATAGATATATTATTAGAAAACTGATTTGTTTTTCTATTAATAGCTTTGCTGCATTTTTGCACATGGTATTTATTATGTCCTAAGAGCAATTATGTTAACCTCATGAAAACTGAGCTACATTATCTGTATGACCATCCAAAAAAAAAAAAAAAAAAAAGACTCTTTGCAATTTGCTGATCTATAATCCCAATCAGTACCAAGATTACCCCCCACCTTCTTTCTGGAAAAAAGCAACTACACGCTTAAGTACTCAGCCAAGATCCAAAGACTCCTTTGGATTCTTACTTGTTACAGCCATCCGGCCTGCTGTCAGAAGGGCCGACCACAGTGTCCATGAACGTCGCAATGTTGGAAAATCCAGCTGGCAATTCGTCCCATTCATCAAATTTGATGCCACTGCCCAAGGAATAGGTACCTTCGCCACACTTACTGCATACCTGGTTCTTCATTTCTAGATACTCTCCCGAAGCACAGGAGAAAGCTGGAAGGCAGAAAAATGCAGAATGCATTAGTCACTGCATTCCACCATGAATTTTGTCACCAGAATTATTTTTATAAAGCTCTGATCATGCCACACCCTAATCAAAGCTTTCTAAAATTGTCCTTATTAACTACATACGCTTCATAATCTGGCCCCAACCTATTTTCCCAGGCTCATCCCTTGCCCCATCCTCTTCCAACCCTAACAAAATTCCTATCATTCCCAAAATATTTCATCCCCTCTCTCTCCCTGCTGTGTTCTTTCTCCAGAGATGCTAACCAATCCATCTGTTCTACTTGCAAAATTCCCGTTCCTAACCCCAAAATGACCCTCTTCATAAGACCTCCCTGCCCCCACCAGGCAGTCAGCTGGTCAGTTGTACCTCCTTCTGTGCTCCTACAATACTCTTCTCATAGTACCTGCATTAAAGTGCGCGTGTGGGCATGGGCGCGCACAAACACACACACACGAGGTGAGGTATACATGTATCAGTTGATGTGAGACTGAGCTTCCAGAAAACAAGGATCATTATTTTTGGATCCCTAATTCCATCTGGCAAATACTAAGTCCAAATAAAGGTTGATCCAGTAAGTGAGAACTAAATATAAAGGGGTAATAGGAGGGCAGTGTTTCTCATGCAATAGCCAAATCGGTATCTCCACTTTTTCAACATTCACGACTCTGATCTAGTCATTTCTACAACCTACATCTTATTACTGATGTCAAGCTCTGGGCTAATTCGGAGAACTAACTATAACCAGAGACAGCAGGCATGGGCATTGTGAAGAATGGTTGACACAGTTACAGAAAAGAAGGTAGCTCCGCCCCTAAGTTATCAGTCATTCAACAAATGCAAATCTACGGCCCCCAAGCGGGGGGCTCTGTGTTCAAAGTGCTATTAGTGACTCAAACACAGCAAAGGGCTTTCCAATCATTTAATCAGGATATTAAAGAAACAAGAACAAAATAAAACCTCGCAATTATTCGATAAAGGAAACTAAGTCTCCCAACAGAGTGAAGGAGCAGAGCCTCACATTTAGATACATTCTTCTTTCATAATACACTTGGAAACTTAGCGAGAAAGACAAACAAGTTAATTTTGAAAAACTAAAGAATTAGAGCTAAAACTCACAGCTGTCTACTTATTTATCCACTGAAAAATTATAATGTTTTTCTTCAGAAAATCTTATGATGCTGTACAATGAAATTCTAACTCTCAAATCAACATCCCACAATTAGTAAAACATCAGAAAATAAGAAAAGGTTAGGCAAAGAATAGTGCATGCTGGCCACAAGTTCAAAACTATCCTGGGACCAGGATGTACCACTTCTTGTGACCTTAAGTGAGTTACTTCACCTCTCTGGGGTCCTCAGTTTATCTCTCTAAAAAATGAGATAATAATCATAGTACTGGGCACCTGGGTGGCTCAGATGGTTAAGCATCTGCCTTTGGCTCAGGTCATCGAGTCCCGCATCGGGCTCCCTGCTAGACGGGGAGCCTGCTTCTCCCTCTGCCTCTCTCTCTCTCTCACTCCCATGAATAAATACATAAAACAAACAAACAAAAAATAATAATCATAGCACTGCTTCATATGGCTATACCAATTCAATAAAATAATGTATAAAGTGCTTAGCATAGTGCCTGGTATTTAATAAACACTCATTACGTGCTATTATTATCACTACCGGCACTATGAGCAGAGAAACACAGCAATGGAAAAAAATTTATTTCACTTTCTATCGTTTACAGAGTTTCTAGAAAACTGATAAATACTATAATAAATAAACCAAGCACCAACATTACACTAAATCAAGGGTCAGCAAACTCCAGCTCACAGGCCAAATCCAGGCTGCCTGTCTTTGTAAATAAAGTTTTATTGAAACACAGTCACAACCATTCATTTACATATTGTCTATGGCTGCTTTTGTACCACAGTGGCAGAGCTGAATAGTCGAAGCAGAGACTATACTACCTGCTGGGCTGAAAATACTTACTTTCTGATAACATAATTTTTGAAGATAGTTTTGTCTAGTGTCCTAAACTGAACTTTTAATTAATAAGGAGTAATAGGGGCACCTGGGTGGCTCAGTCGTTAAGTGTCTGCCTTCAGCTCAGGTCATGATCCCAGGGTCCTGGAATCAAGCCCCTCGTTGGGCTCCCTGCTCAGCAGGAAGCCTGCTTCTCCCTCTCCCACTCCCCCTGCTTGTGTTCCCTCTCTCGCTGTGTCTCTCTCTGTCAAATAAATAAATAAAATCTTTAAAAAAAAAAATAAGGAGTAATATTTTGTAAGTTGCTATAAAGGACTCTAGAAGCTAAGAAGATTGTGCTGTATCATTTCAGAGTGTTCATTGCCCTGCTAAAATCATTGAGAAGAGCCTCAGTTCTTTCAGAGGTGTTTCCTTCTCTAAGACCAGAAGGAAAGTTGAAAGATAAAGTTGACAGTGAATGTTTTGAGTATTTATTACACAGTCAGTTCTTTTTATTCATGGTAAAATCCAGGGTTAGGCTCCTGTGAGACTCTGGTCACAGTATCTTCAGAAACAGATCAACACATAATCTTGTTTTATGTGTGTTTCAGTTGAAAAAAGATCTTATTTAATGTACATTGTTAATTCATTAACATTGAACTTACGGCCCACAGCACTACAACTCATCCTTGAACTAAACTTATTTAACCCACGTATTTTCTCCACAAGGCACATCACAGCCTTCTTGCACTTACAGCACTTCACCACATTTAGGGGCCATTTTAGATGGCAAAATCACCAATAAAAAAGTATAAAAATGCAGAAAAAAGTGGCATTAAATAGATTGTGAAAAGGACACTTGTTAACACTATGAGAAATAAGGCAGAATGTCACTTGTTTGACCTCAGCTGAGACCATATGATCAGATGACTCAAATTTTTAAAGCTCTGTATATGTCAACAAATGACTGTGAAAGTATTATTTGTACTGATGTGGGCGGGGGGGGGTCACAAATTTTATAAAGTAGGTGAATTTGCAAATATGGAATCCATAAATAATTGGGAGCAACATGTTTATAACAGACCTGTGAAGAAGAAAGATAGTATGCCCATTTACCAGATGAGGACAATGAGACACGGTACATTTAAATAACCCAATTAGGAGGGTACTCATTAACAAGTGGCAAAACTAATATTCAAATTTAGGTTTGATTCCAAAGCAGGTGGCCCAAGAAAATTCAACTTAGGCAATTATTATAATTGATGCAAAAAAGGTCAAGCAGTTTCAAATGAATCCATTATTATATTTGACATCATTCTCCATTTCCTGTCTCGAACTGCTAAATAATATTCATTATTGTACATATTGAGCAATAACCATTCCCCAACCTCAGATACCTTGTGGAATTTTTAATATATCACTCCTAAAACACACATTCATAAAATATTTTAGCAAGCTGCTAACTTCCTTAAGTCTCAATATCCTCGTCTATGAAAGGAAGATAGTAATAACATCTATCTCAAAGAACTGCTGTGGGATTCATTGAGCTATTCCACATGAAGCATTTAGCAGTGTACCTGACATAAAGCACTCAATATATGTTAGAAGTAATTATTAATAATACAATTCAGGGGTCTGGGACAATAAGAATTCTGACACTGGCCTGATGATTTTTCATCTCTTAAGAATAAATATGTGATCAAAGCTAATCAAATGGGTATGGGGCCTTTAATGATACAGGGGAACTAAAGAGTCTAAACCTTTTTGTATTTTATTTTATTTTTTCAAAGATTTTATTTATTTATTTGACAGAGGGGAGGAGACACAGCGAGAGAGAGAACACAAGCAGAGGGAGTGGGAAGCAGGCTGGGAGCCGGGTGGGGCTCAATCCGAAGAACTTGGGATCATGACCTGAGCCGAAGGCAGATGCTTAATAACTAAGCCACCCAGGTGCCCCACCTTTTTGTATTTTAATCATTTGTTATTCCTCAATCTTTTTTCCACCCTGGAAGCCAGCTCTCAAGCCACGTGTCAAAGGAAGAGCCACACGTTCTTGTTAAATACAATTTACTCCATGACATTATGTCAGCACGGACTGCCCACCTCTTTAGGCAGTCACCAACGATGACCAGCTTTCCCTTTTCTAGTATTCCATCTTAGCCGCATCCACTTTCTACTTCAACACTGTTTTCTTGGCCTTTGATTTTTAGTTGGATTATAAAAGTTTCTACACTCTTAGGCATGATACTCTTTAAATTCAGATTTCTTTGGAGTGTAACATAGGACACTTTCAACAAAAGTAGAATGATAGACAGTTGTTGTAAGTGGTTGTTTTAACTGTTGTAAATGTCAGTTGACTAGGTTTCATTTGAACAATTAATCATTTCTAAAATAAATATGATTTTTCTTCAACAACCTCAAAATTCTAGAGTATCTGAATTGAATTAAAGTTAAGCAGACTCCAAAGTTCTGCCGTAAGAACAGAAAAACCTGATTTGTGTAAGGTCACACACCACAAAACGGTGGGCTCAGTCTGGGATTTCACAATATTTTCCCTAAGTACCCAGAGAAAGAGTGATGTTAAAAGTCCATCCTCTTAAAGTCTAAATTGTAACCAAGAGGTCATGTGCTAAACTCAGTGTCCTTGTTCTCAGTTTTATGCCTCTCTTCTGACCTCAATTTCTGCTACTGCGAATCTGTAAAGGTTGAAATGTACAGGTGTGAAGAATCAGATATGGAAAAAAAGCATTTATATTCATCTGTCACCAACTAGCAAAAGGCTGGCACAATTTACTTAACCCTCTGTGCCTTCATTTGTTCACATTCCAATGAGAATACCACTTTGCTTCCTCCCTCATAGGATTGCTGAGGTCCCATGAGACACTGGAAACCACTCTGACAGTGAAAAGGGACATATAAATTCAAAGCATCACTATTATCATGCAACCACCCAGTACAATGTACTAAATAACAGCTACTGAATTAATCATTTCTATGCTGATTATCAGCTATGATTTATGCCTAACAATAAA